AAATGCCAGACAAACTTCAACATGTTAAGATGGAGTACGTCGATCGCAAGACTTGCCACGAAGCCGTCGAAGACCTGACGGGATCTTCGCCCGTTCATGAAACCAATGTTTGCACTGGGCCATTATACGACCAAATCTCCGCGTGCAGCGTAAGTCTCAGACGTTTAGTAAATTCAATAAATAGTGGTACTTTGTTACCGCCTGTTAGTGCGGCGATTTAATGTATCAAATTTTTAATGTATTTTTAGGGTGATTCCGGTGGGCCACTAATCTCGCGTAACGGACAAAAGCCGGTGCTCACTGGAATTGTATCTTGGGGTATTATTCCATGTGGCAGTGCAGGCGCGCCATCCGTGTACACCAGGGTATCCAAATTCAATAGTTGGATCGCGCAGAAAATCGGTACTTATTAATGATGGCAATATTGACGACGTATCAATGCATACTGAATGACGAATTATTACATATTATTCAACTTAAAATAAATATGAAGCATAAATAAACAGTAACGTTTTTCTTATTCCTATCCTACATGAAGTAAAATCTATGAAGTAATTTGATTGAATGAAAGCGACACTCATGGCGTAGTATTGCTAATCGTGTGTGGCATACGTAGTCCACAAAGGGTTATATTTATCTACGGATGTAGGTTTTTTCTTTTTTTTATTGTTACTTCTTGTATAAAGCAGCCAATAAAATAAATATGATAGATGCTTTTATAAATTTTTTGTCGGTGAAAACGAAGTTGTAAATGAAACTGCTCTATCACATTACGTTTTTGAAATGCTTTAGCTCAAAAGTATCAAAAAATGCCATTTTTGGCACTTTCAAGTATTTAATTTTGTAAAAATGTGACGTAATAGAGCAATTTCATTTACGGTTTTATCAACAAATCATTTGGTGACAAAAAATCTATAAGAATTATCTTGTCTCATTTGTGGTCTAGAAAAACAATTAAATTTGTCGGGCAGTAATTAAATTATTATTTTATGAATTGTAAAGCTGGTAGCAAGATTTTTAAAATTTTTATTATATTGATACTAATTTTTTTAATTTTATTTACAAAGCTTTCTCTGTCTTTGATGTGCTACCATCAACTTTTTCTGTTGAATATGTACTTTCTTAAACATTATTCATTTAAAAATAAATTTGAGAGCGCCTTCTACTGTCATGGCTGGATGCCCGTTCATAGTTTCTCTTCAAATGCTCTCCTAACACTTCGGCAGATCCATCTTAAATAATAAACGATAGATCATAATAACAGAGTATTGTACTTAGAGACAATTCCTTCTTTAAATCTTTTTTGCGTTAAGTCTAGAAAGTATAGTATTCAACAATATAAATTGGTATTTACTAATTTGTATATACATTTGTCTTTCTATGTTAATTAATTTGATTAAATAAAATTGCTAAAATCCGCATGTACTTGAATTAGCAGTTCTACTCACAACACATGGTGGATCGTAAAAAGCGAGCGAAATAAAGAATTAAATAAATATTTTGCACAAGAATATCTTGATCCTTTATGTAAAATCACTTCTACAATTATTTTATTTTTAATCTGAATTGTTTATTGGAATTTCATTGAATTTTAAAACCAGGAAATCTTTTATCGCAAACAATGATAAATCAACAAATAAAAAAATAAATTTAATTAATCTCTGTCATAAAGCAGATTACTGATTTTTCGTATTCTTTTTATACCTTTATTGAAAGGTAATGATTGATCGTAATCAGAAAATGATAAAACAATCTTTATCTGGATGATCCATCATAATTGGATTTGCAGTTTAATCGAATAAAGCAGAAACAATGTTTTATTGTTACCATTTAAATAAGTTTTATATTAAATTAAAACATCACGATTTGAACAAATATCCAAACAAATCACACATAAAAAGGAAGATTAATTCTTGCAATAATATTTTTTATTGTTATTATATTTGTTGTTTCTTGTTTAATTTTGTTTATTTCAAATG